TAGCGCCCAACAACGGCTTGTCTGTGGCTCTTGTCGTCTTCTACACAATGGTTAAGATTGGGCGGGAAAAGTGAAGGGGTGAACGGCTGGCTTAGAGGTGATAGCTCAACTCACGAGTTATTGCTCTTGGGTAATTTATTAAAGGGAGATTACTGACCAGGAATGCCAAATTAAAAAAAAAAATATTTAAGACTTTCATTAGGGAAAATTTACAACAAATGATGAAGAAGAAATCAATGGCGCACAACAGAAGTAAATAAAACATTTTTCACCATAGGCTGTAGGCAGAGGCGTGCCAAGGATAAAGCGTGCCCGGGGCCAAGCCTGAACATAGCGCCAAAAACATTTTGTAAAAATAAGTGCCGCCTGGGTTGGGGGGGGGGGTAACACACCAGTTTAAAAAAAAAGACTTTTGCTTCCCTTGTCTTTGTGGTGTACATGCCCTTTTCTCGTTTAATGCACTATAAATGTCCTATCTCAAGACAATTTTGGCGCCCCCCTGATGTAGGCGCCCGGAGCATGTGCCCCTCCCCCCCCCCCCTCTTTCTTTACACGGCCCTGATTGTAGGATTAAATGTACTTTCTCGGTGTACATTGGTCACATTTTCAATAACTTGTCTTAATAGGAAGAATTTTAACTATAAAAGCTAAAGAGAGAGAGAGGGAGTCACAAAAAGAGACAGAGGGGAAGAGAGAGAGAGAGAGAGGGAGGGAGTCACAGAAAGAGACAGAGGGGAAGAGAGAGAGAGAGAGGGAGGGAGTCACAGAAAGAGACAGAGGGGAAGAGAGAGAGAGTGACTGAAGGAAGGGAGCGAAGGATAGATCTCTAAAGTTGATAAACAAACTTGTTGAGTCAAGTGAATGTGAACATCAAGGTGAGAGTACTGGCGTCGTGGCTGTGGGGGGGGGGGAGGAAGGGGGTCGAAGGGGTGGGTAGGGAGCGTAGGAGTGATGAATGGCTATTTGATGTGGCCAGATCAGTGGTGAGAGTGGCGTGCAGGGCTGTGGGGGAGGGATGATGGGGAGGGGCGGGTGGCGGGCGGCGTTAGGGGCGCTATTAAACCAGTTCAACGGGAAGCCGGTAGCTCTACTATGTTATGCCATGAGGGGAGATGGGGGAGATAGGGTAGCTTAAACATTATTACAGATTACCACTCGAACAATTTGAAATTGAACATCAAGCAGACCTTCCCAACCTCACCCCTTTTATTTTGTACATTCAAAGTTGATCATTTAAATTTATCAGCCTCACAAATTTGCGCCCCTTAAATAACTGAGTCCCTACCCCTTTTGCAGCTGCTTTAAATATTAAATATGAATCTTCCCAGTTTTTGTTTTTTTTTGTATTATGAACAAGAGATGAGATTTAGTGGTTGTCAAGTCTAGTCATTCCATTCCTTACATACCGAATATCAAGTTTGATTAACGGGTTGGAGATGAAACTAGTTTAAGGTCAAGGCTCTTGAGTTCACGTAACACGTACCGTGATATTATGGTAACCGGGCCATCTGGCCCTGACAGCTCAAGTTGGCTCCACTTCTCTGTAATCTTCTCTTCAAAGCACATTCTATCAGGCACCTGTGTTTGGTCGCGATACAGGTGAGCTTGGACTAGGTGCAGTTCAATATCAGAAAGGGATTGGGTTGGAAAAATGGGGGGGGGGGGGTGGTGGGGATAAATAGCTTGTGTTCAGTTAATGTGTATGTAATATCTATTGTGATGGGCCTTGAGCCTGGTCGTATTCGACCAGTGTAGCATTGCGATACCCATGATATCACATGTGTATGTAATATCTATTGTGATGATTCCTGAATCTGGTGGTATTCGACCAGTGTAGTATTGCAATACTCGTGATATCACATATGTGTATGTAATATCTATTGTGATTGTTCCTGAACCAGGTGGTATTCGAGTCTGAGCCTGGTGGTATTCGAGTCATGGGCCTGGCGGTATTCGAGTCATGAATGTAGCATTGCGATACTTGCGGTATCACATCAAAGCGATTCAATGATGGCTTCTGCAGGCTGCAACATCAAAACGGGAAGTGGGGGAGGGGGTGGCGCTTCTACAAGGTAGTTTGACTTTTGGAGTTTAGAAGATAATATGAAGAGCTAAAAATTGAATGGTTCTAAAAATGGTTAAAGTAACCCTTACTTATTAACAGGCCGGTATATCTCAAATTACCATGTACATGGACGTAATATATGTTTAGCTTTAAGCGTACACAAGTATATATACACATAATACATAATACATATGTACATGATCATTGTCGTAGCTTATAGTGGGTTACGTTTATCATAATGTGGTTTTTTAAACTGTCTTTTTAAAGAATATAGAGTAGGCTGAAATAAATGTGTTTGAAACAATAAAATAATCTTATCTTTTATATTAAATTATTTCAGTGTATTAGAAAAGTTGTGTAACCAGCATGGTGGGAATGCAGAATAACGACTCTATGTTAAACATATGCATAATAAATGTAGACTACATATTCGGACTCAGACATGGGCTCCCGCAGGGAAGGGCAAGGGGGGCACTTGCCCCCACCCCCCTGGATTGATTGGATAAAAAAAAATTAGACAAAAATAGATAAAAAATGTATTAAAGTAAAGAGAAAATAAAGAGAAAGTAACTAAGCTGATGTCCTGTCCGTTCGTTCACCATACAAATACGCTACAGTAAATTAAAACTATATTAAAACATTACTACAAATTTTTTTCCCCCCCCCCCCCCCCCCCCC